AGCGTGTGTGTGTGTGTATATGAGTGTGTGTGTGTATATATGAGCGTGTGTGTATATGAGCGTCTGTGTGTGCAGTGACTGCAGCCTGTGAAATATTGAAGAGTCGCTCTTTGTCTCCTGACATGTGATCGGGGTCAGAGGTCATTCTGGAGTAAGACGATCATTTTCACGGGCTCTCGTGACCCGCTCGTGTTTGTTTCACTGTCAGCTGGTCATCATGACACGCAGTTAATTAACATCATCTGACGAGAACTTTACGCACACACTGTATTTATAAACGAGAGTTGTGTGAGGGCTGCAGAAAAGAAAAGGTGTGTGACGTCGAGGCACGTTTATTTTCTCATTATTGTTTCAAAGCAGCTTCACAGTGATAAACAGGACAATAATAACTGTTGCAGAGTTGCGATCAGTGTTGACGTCCTCGTAAACACCAAACTGCATTTGACTAAAACAAATGGTTTTTACTCCTGTAACATTATCTGTGAGCATGAAGAAGCTGAAGCTCAGTGCCAGCGTGGCGTTCAGAGCGCAGTGAAACAGCGACACCTGCTGCTCGCACTGAAGAACTGCTTCCTACAGCTTCCTGTGGACACTCCTATGCTCATTAATGTCTGCTTTTCCTTTCAGACCGAAGACACAGAACAGCAGATCATCAGAGAAACCTTTCATCTGGTTTCCAAACGAGACGAGAACATTTGCAACTTCCTGGAGGGCGGACTGTAAGACACACACACACTCACACACACACGCACACACACTCACACACACGCACACACGCGTGTTTCTCCGGCGGTGTCACGTGTTTGACGTCATGACTCACGGCGTCTCGTGTGTGTTTGTGCTCTCAGGTTAATCGGCGGCTCGGACAACAAGCTGATCTACAGACACTACGCCACACTTTACTTTGTGTTCTGCGTGGATTCGTCCGAGAGCGAGCTGGGCATTCTGGATCTGATCCAGGTCACATTTCATCATACAGCGCTTAATTCAATACAGAATGTGTCAAAGCAGCTTCACAGTTATAAAACAGCAGAATCAGTGATGGAAACTTCATTAAATATGAGACTAATCCAAATTCTGCTGTGTCATGATTCGGTTCAGTTCAGTTCAGTTTAAGTCTGTAAAATTCATCAATTATAAACAACTTCAATTTCAGCTCTACAGAAGTCATTATTCAGATCAATTCAGGCTTTGAAACCCAACAAAAAACTCCATCAGGTGACAGAAAAACCTCTTAAAGGGGCTTCAAAAGCCTTCGTTCACTCTTCCACAAATAAAGGCCTAAAATTCTTAAATCAGAGTCTTCAATTCATAAAGTCATGACATTAAATGCTGCATGCATCATTAAAAAACAATATATGTGACCCTGGAGCACAAAAGCAGTGTTAAGTCGCTGGGGTATATTTGTAGCAATAGCCAACAATACATTGTATGGGTCAGAATTATAAATTTTTCTTTTATGCCAAAAATCATTAGGATATTAAGATCATGTTCCATGAAGATATTTTGTAAATGTCCTACCGTAAATATATCAAAACTTAATTTGTGATTAGTAATATGCAGCTGATGTATAAATCTCAATTTTGAAAAATTGACCCTTATGACTGGTTTTGTGCTCCAGGATCACATATTCTTGCTTTCCAATAAAAATATATAAAAATCCTCAAATCAAGGTACATCTAGCTTAAACTCAATTCTGTTCATTTTTCTGAGAAACTGAACATAATTGAGTTTATGCTTAAAACAAGAACTGATGAAATGAAAACTTGTTTCTTTTTAGTCCACTGGCAGATATTTGCTCTTGTTTTAATCATAAACTCACTTCATTTTGATCAGTTTCTCAGAAAACAAGACTTCATGTCTTCTGTCATTCTGCTTCTCCAGTAAAAGTATTTTGATTTAAGAATCTTTTGCACTGCAAACACTGAAAAAGAGCATCACTTATTTTGCAGGTGTTCGTGGAGACGCTGGACAAGTGCTTCGAGAACGTGTGTGAGCTGGACCTGATCTTTCACGTGGATAAGGTGATGCACGCTTCACAATCGAGTGCTAGCGTGAGCCGCGGCGCGCTGACACGTCTGTTCTGTGTGTCCGCAGGTGCACAACATCCTAGCGGAGATGGTGATGGGCGGCATGGTGCTGGAGACCAACATGAGCGAGATCATCACGCAGGTGGAGGCGCAGGGCAAGATGGAGAAATCTGAGGTGAGAGCGGCTCCGCTGCTGCATGCGTGTGCGTGTGGAACGCATGTCCCAGAATGCCGTTCTGTGGTGTCTGCTGCTGCTGCTGCTCTTCTGTGATCGATCTGAAGAACAGATCTTCTGCCCTCGACAGGAAACACAGGCAAATGCGTTGCATCGTGAGCGTTTGAACGAGGCTCCCTTTGATCATTTCCATCCCACACACGCAAAACCATACCGAACATCACCAAACGCTGAGACCTTGATTTCTACAGCGCTTTATACAGTAGCAGCTTCACAGAGATAAACAGGAAGAATAATGGAAACTTATGAAACAAATCCAAATCCAGCTGATTTAAGCTCTACAGGAGACATTATTCAGATCAATTCAGATTCGGTTTGGTTTGATAACGAACAAGTTCAATTCATTCAACTCTAGTCGATTCAACATTGATTAAATTCAGTTTCATATCAGTGTCAATGTTGCAGAATAAAGCAGCTCTACAGGAGACAATACAGTCATTATTCAGATCAGTTCAATTCTAGTTTTGTTATCATCTGATAGTGTCAGCGTGTCCAATAATATTATGGAATATTAAGTGTCTTTTAAACCCAGACTAGTCATGGCAAAGGTAAAATTATTTTCTGTGTCAGTATCAGCGCTCTAATGATGTAAAATCTTTTATAATGCTACATTTATTCTGATGAATAGCATTAATCGAGTGAATCTCAGAAACTCACATGCGCACACACACTCACTCACTAACACACTCTCTCACTCTCTCACACACACACACACACACGCACGCACTCACTCACACACACACTCACTCACTCACTCACTCACTCACTCTCTCACTC